CTTTGACTTAGGACTTACTATCACTGCTTATTGGATTTTCCCGCGGCTGTCTGATTTCTTAATATTCAAATAATATGTCAAGGAATGTTCTTTATCAGAGGAATCAAGTATAAGTGCGCTATGGAAAAATATTCTCTGCAATAATATAAATATATTCTTATTCTTTTTTGCATATTCGTTTTGAAAAAAGTGGAAATCAATAGTGAGACGCGAACGGAACTGATTCCTCCAAGCACGAACTCACTCATTAATTGCAAAACGAAATGTCAAAAAATGAGCAAGCATTAGACAAATGTTCTTTTGGTTGTGCTAACGTTTTTAGCAGTTGGCAGCGAGTACGCTGGAGCGGTGTGTACCGAACTCCAGCCGCACCCTCGATCGCAAGATCCTTATTGCGCTTAAAAGCCTTATAAGGATCGGCTGATCTGATTCGAAGTATAGAGATATTCTGATGAGCGTCACGTTTGTGACGTAGTACACCGTAGAAGTGGCCGTTAGCTCATGGAATTGATAACACAAAAAATGCCTTCTAGACACAAAAGCACTGTCTGATATAGCCTTTTTTCCTGAGTCTCAGATCTCCTGCATAAAGCATATTTTGCTGTCACCTCCGTTTGGTTTTCAATCACAAGTGGTTCTTATGTGTACAAACATGCAGATATCACACTGTTGAGATGCTGAACATGTAGTGAGCAGGACATCCATATAGAACGGCATGCAACTCGACAAAAAAATCAGCTTAGATTATCTCAAATATGGCTAATAATATAAAGTGAGACCAAAAGTCTTAGGCCACTACCTCAAGCTCCATTTTTCGTTCTGGTGGAACCTCACTAGGATCTTCCAACAAAATCTCTTCTTCCAGCAATTGCGCCGCTTTCTCCTCTTCCTAGATTTCGATCACAAGCTACTTTAAAATCACAAAGGCGATATTCAATCAAAACGTGCTGGTACAAGGACTACATCAATTACATAATCAGCAATACCTCGCGCAGTTGAGCTTGTCGTTGTCTTTCCAACTCTCTGGCCTTTTCTTCTTCCTAAAAGGGTGCTAAACACATCACAGGCAATCACATTAACAACAAGTTTCATGGTTAATCAGCAAGCACGTGCTGGGACAAATGAGAGAACAAATAGCAACATTCCTCAGCGGCGAATATTAATATATTTTAAATTTAGTACTGACAGCCACTGACAAATGTTGTTCTTATTTTGCGTTACTTAAGACCAAGCCACCATACATAAAAGAAGATGAAAGCTTACAACTTTTACTCGGATCTCCTCCAAACGCTTCCGCTCTTCCTCTTCTTTTCGCTTCTTTTCAGCTTCCTTAAAATGGAGACTCTCTTCGAAGTTCAAATAGATAAAGTTTGAATTCTGCTCATTTCAGTCAAGAAACTAGAAGTATTTTAGTATTTACCTCCCTAGCTTGCCGCTCCCGTTCTTCTCTCAATAATCTCTCCTTTTCAGCCTGTTCTTGTAGCCGTTTCTCGCGTTCTTCCTAGAAACAGGATGTTTTCCCCCTCGTTTGAGCTAGTCAAGAGATAGCGCACCTCAGCTTTACGAGCTTTTTCCGCTGCCTTTTGTTTCTTTTCCTCCTCTAATCGTAACCGCTTCTCTTCCATTGCTTTTTCCTTTGCACATTGAGCCAGAGCCTTCTTCTGCGCAATCTTAAAACAGAGCAGAAGTTCAATTCAACAGAATATATATCAGCCATGTATTCTTTTTTGAATTTACGACTGAACGAACAAGCTTCAATTTCTCCTCTTCCTTCAACCGCCTTTTTGCTTCTTTTTCCTCTTCCAACTTTTTCTGAATAATCACACTAAACCCTAAATCTTAAGTAGGATAAGTATAGTTCCAACCTTCCTCTCCTCTTCTTTTTTTCTTTCTTCTTCCTGTTTTCGTTTAGCTTCCACTTGGTTATGAGTCATCACTTGCTAAAAGTAGTGTGACTTAGTCTGAAACTACCTAGAAAAATGCAAAAGCTGACCATCATTAAAGTTTGCTGCAGTACCAG